GGGTAGTGACGTGTGGTGTGTTACCTGTGTGTTTATATGACAGTGTGTTTCATGTGTGTGTGCATATGAAAGTGTGTGTGTGTGTGTGTGTGTGTGTGTGTGCGTGTGTATGACAATGTGTTACCTGTGTGTTTATATGACAGTGTGTTACCTGTGTGTGTGTATATGAAAGTGTGTTACCTGTGTGTGTGTGTGTGTGTGTGCGCGTGAGTGTATGACAATGTGTTACCTGTGTGTGTGTGTGTGTGTGTGACAGTGTGTTACCTGTGTGTGTGTGACAGTGTGTTACCTGTGTGTGTGTGTGTGTGTGTGACAGTGTGTTAACTGTATGTGTGTATGTGTGTGACAGTGTGTTACCTGTGTGTGTGTGACAGTGTGTTACCTGTGTGTGTGTGTGTGTGTGTGTGTGTGACAGTGTGTTAACTGGTGTGTGTGGTGTGTGACAGTGTGTTACCTGTGTGTGTGTGACAGTGTGTTACCTGCGTGTGTGTGTGTGTGTGTGTGTGACAGTGTGTTAACTGTGTGTGTGTATGTGTGTGACAGTGTGTTACTTGTGTGTGTGTGACAGTGTGTTACCTGTATTAGTTTAATTTATATTCTTTACAATCATTTTAATGATTTTCTGATTTAATCTCTTCAGTTTGTGTTGGAAAGAGAAGGGTTAATACTGAAGAGAAAAAAATATCCAATCAGGATTTTTCTTTGGTTGTCTCTGGGTAGAAAAATCCAGCTCTGCCAACCATTGGCTAGGCCTTCAGAAGCCGGACAGAAGGCCTCTGTCTTTCAAATTTATTAGAGCAGAATTTTGGAGTGACAGTAGAATGAACCAATCACATTTTGACTTGCAATTGGTGAGACCGTAAAAAAAAAAGAAGCTAAGTGTCTAGGCACATCACTACTGAAAACCAAGAGCAAATAATCAGAACCGAGCAGTAGTTTTCCCACGCTAGGAATGTTAGCTAGCTTGTGTTGTAGTAGTGTGATAATGTTAGCTAGCTTGTGTTGTAGTAGTGTGATAATGTTAGCTAGCTTGTGTTGTAGTGGTGTGATAATGTTAGCTAGCTTGTGTTGTAGTGGTGTGATAATGTTAGCTAGCTTGTGTTGTAGTGGTGTGATGTTAGCTAGCTTGTGTTGTAGTGGTGTGATAATGTTAGCTAGCTTGTGTTGCAGTAGTGTGATAATGTTAGCTAGCTTGTGTTGTAGTGGTGTGATATGTTAGCTAGCTTGTGTTGTAGTGGTGTGATGTTAGCTAGCTTGTGTTGTAGTGGTGTGATAATGTTAGCTAGCTTGTGTTGCAGTAGTGTGATAATGTTAGCTAGCTTGTGTTGTAGTGGTGTGATAATGTTAGCTAGCTTGTGTTGTAGTGGTGTGATGTTAGCTAGCTTGTGTTGTAGTGGTGTGATAATGTTAGCTAGCTTGTGTTGTAGTAGGTGTGATGTTAGCTAGCTTGTGTTGTAGTGGTGTGATAATGTTAGCTAGCTTGTGTTGTAGTGGTGTGATAATGTTAGCTAGCTTGTGTTGTAGTAGGTGATGTTAGCTAGATTGTTGTTGTAGTAGTGTGATGTTATGCTAGGCTTGTGTTTTGCAGTAGGAGTGTGATAGCTAGCTTGTGTTGTAGTGGTGTGATACTGTTAGCTAGCTTGTGTTTGCAGTAGTGTGATGTTAGTAGCTTGGTCGTAGTAGTGTGATGTTAGCTAGATGGGTTTGTAGTGGTTATGGTGCTAATGTTAGCTAGTTGGGTTGTAGTTGTGGATGTGGATGTTAGCTAGCTGTGTTGTTGTAGTAGTGTGATGTTAGCTAGCTTGTGTTGTAGTAGTGTGATGTTAGCTAGCTTGTGTTGCAGTAGTGTGATAGCTAGCTTGTGTTGTAGTGGTGTGATAATGTTAGCTAGCTTGTGTTGCAGTAGTGTGATGTTAGCTAGCTTGTGTTGTAGTAGTGTGATGTTAGCTAGCTTGTGTTGTATAAGAGTGTCTGCGAAATGACGTAAATGTAAATGTAAATGTATTGGACGATTTTTGGTCCCTCTGAAGGCCTAGGCACCTAGGCACTATAGTTCACCAATGCCTGTGTGTGTGACAGTGTTTTACCTGTGTGTGTGTATATAGGACAGTGTGTATCCTACCTGTGTTGGGGATGGTGAGTCGTCCCCCCAGGTTGCCCAGGGTAGCGGAGGTGCTATGGCCAGGCTCTCTGACCAGTGTATGATGCCCCCCGGGGTGGTGCCCATCTCTGTCAAGGTCAAGGTCAAGGTCCAGTTTTAATAGACCCACATAGCAGTTCATATAAACTGTGTGTATTCATTGTGTTGGGGATGGTGTGTGTTTTAATTGTGTGTGTATTACTAGTGTGTGTGTCTGCATGCGTGTTTGAGAGACATTGTGTGTGTGTGTGTATGTGTGTGTGTGTATGTGTGTGTGTGTCTGTGTGTGTGGTGTGTGTGTGTGTGTGTGTGTGTGTGTGTGTGTGTGTGTTCGTGCTTGCGTACGCGTGTATATCTTACCTGTCCCAAGGCACAGTCCTACCCATGGTGCCCCTCATGCTGACGTTTTTGAGGCTGAGGATGTCAGGGTTACCGTGCCCCTCCGCTGACAGCTCCAGGGATGACAGGGCAGACGAGTTGTACACCTTTATTATAGGAAAACAACATAGAATAATAATAATATGCCATTTAGCAGATGCTTTTATCCAAAGCGACTTAGTCATGTGTACACACATTTTACGTATGGGTTGTCCCGGGAATAGAACCCACTACCCTGGCGTTACAAGCACCATGCAATATCAACTGAATGTCCATTGAACCATATTTTAGTCCAGGGGTGTATTCATCACGCTGGTTTTCTTTACAACACTATAAATCAGCCGGACCCAAAGTGGACCGCGGACCTGTTCTGTTATTCATCTGTGTGATGTGATCAATCACTTTATTCCAGTTCAGAATGAAAATGATTAATTGTATTTTAACAGCAACAGTTCCAACCTATACATATATGTAAGAGTGTTTTTAATGGGGAAAATAAACATGAATAGATATTTATATGGATATTTAATTTCATTATTTGTTTTAGTCTATATTGCATTTGTTTTAGGCATAAGGGCAATGAAATGTACCGATATTTACGTATAGTTGCATATTTTCCTAAGCTTGGGTCCCAGGAAAACACAGAATTTCTAATTTGGGTCCCAGGCTGAAAACGTTTAAGAACCACTGCTATAAATGCTCAAACATGCTTATGTAATAATAAGTCTTCATACCTGTCAGCTGTAAGTCAAGTGGTACTGTGTTACCATTTGGGTTTATTGAGTCTTCACAGTTCATTAATTCATGTGATAATCCCGGGCCCCCAGTGTCCGGTCTGGAGAGTGAAGTCACAAGCTCTGCTGGTCGGCTACTGCCTAGCAACCTAGCAGTGCCAAAAGCCCTGGTCGGCTACTGCGTAGCAACCTAGCAGTGCCAAAAACCCTGGTCGGCTACTGCGTAGCAACCTAGCAGTGCCAAAAGCCCTGGTCGGCTACTGCGTAGCAACCTAGCAGTGCCAAAAGCCCTGGTCGGCTACCACGTAGCAACCTAGCAGTGCCAAAAGCCCTGGTCGGCTACTGCGTAGCAACCTAGCAGTGCCAAAAGCCCTGGTCGGCTACTGCGTAGCAACCTAGCAGTGCCAAAAGCCCTGGTCGGCTACTGCGTAGCAACCTAGCAGTGCCAGAAGCCCTGGTCGGCTACTGCGTAGCAACCTAGCAGTGCCAAAAGCCCTGGTAGGCGCTAGAAAGCCTATGTAAATTACGATCACCAGAACGGCCAAAAAAATTTTGTTTATTATGATCAAGTTCCATCACCACAATGAATTATTTAAAAGTTTGCTACAAATCAAAATATTTAATTAAATAGTGATCCATTCTGACTACTACATTTGTCGTCACACAGAACCACGTGCTGACACAGACCAATCACGGGCCGGCAGGCTACGA